TTTAAAACATGAACTAGAAGAGAACCCAACCATAAGTGTCTAAACACCTTCTGAACACTGAAAATCAAAACAAAAAATTTAAAAAACAAAAAATGTCCAAAAAAATATGCAGGAGCTATTGAGAAATTATAAAAAGAAAAATACTCTTGATACACCTAAACAGCTCTTTTGAATAAAAGTGAATATAAAATAATATTTAGCATACCTCACCATGGAATAAAGGTTACTGACTAAGTGTAGTCGTGCAGTGAATTCAATCCTCACTGGGTGTCCTACCTATGTAACCTTGTACAAAATTAAGCTAAACTGGATGGAGTGAGTAAACAAGAAGGAAATCTTAAAGAAAATGGCAACAGAAAGAACACTTATATTCAGGAAGAGAGAGCTGAAATTTCTTGAGCACATAATGAGGAAGGAGGGCTTGGAAAATGGTACATATTGAGGGTAAGAAAAAAGAAAAAAAAAAACATTTTTTCCTTTTATCATAGGACTCTAAAAAATTGATATAAAACAAAAGGTAATTTGTAAAAATAAAGAATTCAAAGGAAAAGAAATTAAAAGAATACAAATGGTAAGAAAAAAAGAAAAAAATAGAAAATATTTTCAATAAGAAACAAAATTCAAGTAAAATAAGGCCATAAAAAATTAAACCTTTTATAAAATATAAAACAATTCAACAAAATATGTTATATAATTTGAAAACAAAAAAGTAAATAAAAGTAAATTAAAAAGTAAAACAAAAAAAATCAGAAGAGAAAAAATTCAAAGATAAAATAAAAATGTTTAAAAAGATAAAATGAAAGTAAAAAAAAAAAAAAAAAAAAAAAATAACTGGGAAAGAAATAAAACTGGAGAATTCAAAGAAGCCTCTTCCCCAGTGGGAATAGGTGAAATCTTTTGATGCTTGTAAAATTCCAGTGTCTGGCTTCCTGCAGCAAACATGAAGCATATTCTAAACAGAGTTCTGTCATTATAGGTCTTCTTTTCTACATTTTACTGTCTGAGTATTGAAAATATGTTTAGCATTAGACATGGCCACTCAAAAGATAGATTCAAAGATGCAAGATTCAACAATATTATAATATGAACATGCCAACAAGAAATCAGTCTTCAGAGAATTCAAAAACCAGGTAGAAAAATCTGAAGACTTTTCTTTTTTTCTTCTTTTTTTTTCATTACCACAAAAGCAATCATTAAAATTCCACAGTAACAATAAAAAAATTATTAAAAGAAAAATGATTTTTTTTTTCATAAAAAGTCTAGAAAAATACACAAATGTGGTTAAAAATACAGGATGAGGAACCAGAGATTCAAATTTCAAACATCAAAGCTAGAATAAATTTACAGTATATTTCCCTTTATCTGCAGGAGATGGAATATATCTCCCATAGATAAAAGAGAATATACTGTAAATACACCCCCAACATATGCCTAAAATAGAAGACAGTACATATAGGACTTGGTACTATATTACTTTCCCAATGCTAAAGTTTAATTTATAAAATTATGCACAATAAGAGATTAACATCAATAACTAATAATAAAATAGCAAAAGCATAATTATAACAATATACTATAATCAAAGTTAAGCAAACATCATGCTGGCAAAAAAAAAAAAAAAGTTAAAAAGTATAGTTTTTCCCTTGACACTGCTATTGTTTTAACTACCTTCACTCCTCAACAATGTTTATGGTTAAACAACTAATCGATTTATAGTTGATTGCAACAACCAAGATAAGGATCACAGTTCAAATAAATTAGCACATTTCAGAAATTCAGATAGAAATAAATGCAGTTTGTTGTGTTATTCTGTAACCAAAAGGCCTTTTGGAGTTTTAATTACATGATACAGTGATCACCTCTTAGTTGAAATTTTCTGTTACCCATAATAAATCTCAGTAATAATCAATTTTAACTACTTTCACTTCTTGCCAATGTTTATTGCTTTAAAAAGCAATGATTAGAATTTTAATAAAACTTAGACATATGAAAGTGAATTTATACATTTTCTTTGTTCTTGAGAATTGATCACAAAAATAATAAACACTATTTATTTATTAGATTGTTTATTGGAATGGTTGGCAAATCATTGGCTAATTGATTCAAATATTATAAAATGGTAAATAATGATTTCCTTATTTGTTGGTTCATATACTTTAATTATTTAGTAAATGTTTATAAATTTATGAATAAAGAAATTGTTTTCATATTTATTTCTCTATAAAGTGGTAAGTGATAATATGGCATTACATTAGTTTTAATATAATTAGTATTAGTTTTTATACTGTTGTAAATATGAAATTATTTTTGTAGATAAAAAATATAATAAATAGTGTTTAAAATTTTTGTTGTCAATTCTCAAGAACAAAGAAAATGTTTAAATTCACTTTCATCACATGTTTAGGTTTTATTAATATTCTAATCATTGCTTTTTAAAGCAATAAACATTGGCAAGGAGCGAAGGTAGTTAAAATGATAGTGGTGTCAAGGGAAAAACTGTCCTTTTGACACTCCATTTTTTTTTGTAGCCAAAAGATTTTTAATGAAATGTTCTAATCAGAAAATGGAAGGGCTTATGGCCATATCACATTGAAACACCAGTTCTCATATGACTACCAAAGTTAAGCAATGTCAAGCTAGGTCAATACTTAAATGGGTGCTGTAAGCTTGCATATACAGGTGGCATATGGGATAATGGTTCCAAATTGTAAACTGGAGAACTAAGTTCCAATTCCAGTCAAGTTGGTTATGGTCACTTATACATAAATATCTTTGGCAAAGGCATGAACCCACCACTTCTCTCTCCAGCTGTTAATTATTAAAAATTCCATCAGTAAATCATTATTTCCAAAAAAATTCTAAGAATCTAAAAATATTTTCTGGCTTTAAATAACCATCAAGAGGTTGATAATCCATAAAAAATAAAGCAATCAATCAGAAAATGGAATCAGCAGTTTGGTTTCAAACTTAACTCATCAGTAGAACAATTTTACATTAATACCTTCAAAAAGGGTATGAACTTGATGACTCTTTATTTTACAAATATAACAACACAAAAGTCCAAGTCAAAATTGGCAAAGAGTCACCAAGAGATCATTGCTCCTGCCAGGTTATAATTAGCCCATCTCTTGTGCTGTTCTATTGCCAGCCAGCTTGATTTTGTCTTGCTATATCCAAATAAGAGAGAAAACAAAAACAATATAAAGATGATACTGTCCATGTCTCTTGAACTATAATCCACAATCATCAATCCCCAAAGATGATTGATGTTATACTAATAAGTAACACTTTTCAATGAAAGGTAAAGTTATAAAATTCTCTCAAACTTCCCCATAATTAATAGCTTATTAATTAATAACCCAATTATTAATTCAATGAGATTTTTTGAAACATGGCCTCTTATTTTACAGTTGAAAGTAAGGAATATCAGTGGTTATTTGAGAAAAAGATATTGATGTAAAAATAAAGAAAAAAGGTGCTTTGGATAAAGAACATCTTAACTATATCTCATGATGAACAATCTAACCAAAATTGTTAGTTGGTCATTGAAGATAGCCAAAAGCTCATTAAAAAATAACAATAAAAAACATTTGCCAATTATAATGTCAGAAACTAAAATACAAGAATTAAAGGGTTTTTAAAAAAGAAGAAATTAATGAGCAATTTTTTTTTTAAATTTTACATTTTTAAATTTAAATTTTATTTGCTTTTTGTTTGTTTTCCATTTTCTTATTTTTCTGAAATTTATTTTTCAAAATCTATTTTGAAATTTTCTTTTTTTTTTCTCCTTACAAGATGGAGAAGATGACAAAGCCAGGAACGGAACGACACGCTGCAAATATTTGGAGTCTCAACTGGAACAGGAAACAAATAAATTTTTACAAAATAAAAAAAAAGAAACAGAAAATGAATTCTTTAATTCTTTTTGTACTTTTTTCTTTTTTTTAATTTTTTCCTTTGAAATTATTTAATTCATTACTTTATTTTTATTTTTTCAATTTTTCACCTTCTGGTCCCACATTATGCTTCCTCCTAAATTTGTGCTTCTTATTTGTTGTTTTGTTATTTTTTAATATATAGTTTAATTTTATTTTTAGAGCCCAGATATCACAATGCATGTTTGAAAATGGCTTCAGCATGATGAGTATATGAGATCTCTTGTGGATAAAAGAACAATTAAGTATTAAAAAATATCATCTTTATCACTATCTATGAATCTACCCCTTTTCGTTTCTACCAGTTTCCACTCTCTATCCCTCTCTCTAGCCACAAGTACTTCTTAAGTTCCTCTCTTTCTGTTTTCATTTTCAGTTTCTTTTTCTTTCGATCACCCCACCCCTTTACTTTCTATTTCATCTTTTTTTTCTCCCTTTCTTTCATTTTTCTAATTCTATTTCATGCTTTCTCCTCTTTTTCTTCTTGCTTTTCTGGGTTTTTTTAATATCACTTTCCTTCTTCCCAATCATTTTCTTATCTTTTTCCTCTCCCCCAACCCCTTACAATCTATTTTATTTCATACCCCACTAATAATTCTTTTATGACACCAAGTGCTGTATCATAATACCCACAAAAATAGGGTATTTCAAGGTTTATAAATGTATATAAACTGCTACCATAAACGTTTAGGGAATTTGGCCTTAAAAATAATAAAATAAAATTACCCTAGTACCTAGTTTCCACTGTGTCTTTCAGATAGTCCCCTTAAGTATTTATACAGCAATCTCACAAATTATACTGCTTAAAGGGGAGCAAGAAAAGTCAGTTCATGGGATCTACTCAAATTTTCAAAACTTTCGAGTGACTGTTTCTTTTATTTATGTATGTTAACCTTAAGAAATAATACTTTGGCCAATAGTTTCAGAGATAAAATGACTCCAAGTTATAACATTTAGAGACTACAATATTTTATACTTTATTTTACTACTTAAAGATTGGTGTCTGCATTTTATACTAAATTAACCAGATTTCACTTTCTTGGTCTACTGTACACAAGAAAGGAAATGTTAAATAAAAGGCAATTGTGTTGTCATACACAGGGCACTTTCGATATTATCTCTCTCTCTCTCTCTCTCTCATTTCCTTCCTCTTTTCTCTCTCTGTCATTTCTTTCCACTTTTCTCGTTCTCCCTCTCTGTCATTTCTTCCCTCTCTTTTCTCACTGTCATTTCTTTCCTCTCTTTTCTCTCTCTCTCTGTCATTTCTTTCCTCTTTTTCTCTCTCTCTCTGTCATTTCTTTCCTCTTTTCTCTCTCTCTCTCTGTCATTTCTTTCCTCTCTTTCTCTCTGTCATTTCTTTCCTCTCTTTCTCTCTGTCATTTCTTTCCTCTCTCTTCTCACTGTCATTTCTTTCCTCTTTTTTTTTTCTTCTCTGTCATTTCTTTCCTCTTTTTTTTCTCTCTCTCATTTCATTCCTCTCATTTATTTTTCTTTTCTCTTATATTTCCCTCTTTGGAAGTGAGAGAAAACATGGATATAGATGATACCAATAAGGAAAGAAAAAAAAAAATTCCATTTCCTCACTTCCCCCACCGCCCAATCGCCTGTCTTCCACTGATCTTTTGCTATTCCATTTTTTTTTTTTATATACTCTCTCTTTTACCTCTCCCTAACCTCTGCTACTCTTCTTTTTGTTACTCTCCCTGCTCTTCTCCCCCACTGCTACCATTTCATTCCATAATGTCTTTGCAGAGGCTATTTATTACCACCCTTCCAACCCTCAACTTAACTTCTTCAGAATCTTGTCTCTCAAACAATGGCACCAAATCAAACCAGACATTTTATTTATTAGCCCAATGCAGATTAATGTGAAAGAGCAAAAGAGGAACCAAAAAGAAAGAAAAAGAAATATCTCCAAAGAAAAATCCATAATCCTACAAATAGATTTCTCTGTTTACAATTCCAAAGCAGCCAGTGCGGAAATTCATGGTGGCTCTAAAGGATAAACTGATTTCATTTCTCTCTTATTTTTTAGGTCATTTTAAATTAGTCTCATATTTTGAAAATACATTTTTTTTCTTTATAAAATTGACAGCACTTATTACAGATGAGAGATCATTTGTGTACCTTTGAAAATTTTCATGATTGTTTATTTTTGTCAAAAGTAAATCTGTACAAATAAAGTCACCCCAACAAAGTCTTGATCATAAAAGCCATTTCAGCCCAGGCAGTGCTCAGTGAGCTTACAAATACAATAACAGTTAATTTTTTGGTTAATCTGATATTCTGGAGGCATCTTCTTTTAAAACTTTTGACAACATTAAAAGTCACTTTAAAGTCAGAAGAAATATATATATTATATATATATATATATATATATATATGAGAGAGAATCTCACATTGACTCTCTCTCTCTTATATACATAAACTCTCTCTTTCTCTCTCATATATACAAACACTTTCATTTATATATATATATAATCCCTCACCTACAGCATGACTCAGAGTTTTGCATGTGTATATATATGTATATATACACACGCATTATTGCTAATATGCACAAATACGCACTCTTTCTCATACTTGAACATCCACTTTCATGCACACACACACACTTTAACAAAAGCAGAAAACAGCTTTGAAACTATTCTTGCTTTTTGTAATTTGCCATCTTTTGAACAAGTGTTAATGGTATCAAACATTTCAAATTACGAATAAAAACTTAAATTCTATAAAATAAATTCTACATAGAATTAGTGTTTAATGTCTTAAGTAACACTCATTAAAAACAAATTCATATACAAATAATCTTAAAAAGTTATATCTTAAACCTTATATTTCAGTTTTGTTAATAATAAAATACAGTTGTAGTCTTATAAGGTTGAAGTCACATCAAATCCATAATTAAAATGTTATTGAGCAAAAAAATTATCTACAATAAAATATTTTAAGACACCCTCTAAAATGTCATTGTTTTTATTGAAACATTAATTAACAGTTTCTGTTTCACATTTCCTAGATAAACATTCAAATAAATTTTGGGAACATTTTTTTTTAATGTGTAACTTGCTTGCGTTTATCACAAATTACTCCACATATCCATTTGTGACATTTCCAAATGCGTATCAAAGGAAATCCCTGACTTTACAAATTGTTCAAATCTATATATATATATATATATATATATATATATAAATGTGGTATTGGATCCTTTCAAAAGTCATCAATTTAATTATCTGCTGGTTTATAACTAATGACATATCGTTAAAAAAGAAAATATAAAGTAAGGTATTCCAATAAAATACTTTCTAATTCATATTCTTCATGTTGTATATATGCATTTCTCCCTTCTGACTTTTGTGAAATTATTGATATTTCTGAATTTAAGCAATCTTTGCTTTCGTCTGCTCTTTCTACATATTGTTACTGGCATACATCAACATCATAATCTGAGACACATGCACTATATATATATATATATAAAAGTGGTCTGTTTTTATTTAAATTATTTGCTCTGGATTTACATTGAGCTCTCTGGATTTTATCGTACTTAGGTTTTACCCATACGGATTACCTAGTTTTTCATAAACTCTCTCTCTCTCTCTCTATATATATATATATATATATATATATATATATATACACATATATATATATATATATATATATATATATATATATGTGTGTGTGTGTGTGCACACATACACACACACACTTTTCTGAAGATGACAAATATTCTTTTCTTTTAAAGAATTATATTTTTTCACATAAAAGTTGAATAACCAGAGAGACATTTTTTTGTTTCCTGGTCTGTGTCCATATTTCTTTTATCTTTCGCTCACTGGAACCAAAATTACCCATATTTTTAGAACCATTCCTTCCCTTCCTCTTTTTTCTTTTGCATCTATTTTTTTCATCTGAAATAAATAATTGATATAGTTCTTCTCCATGGCCTACCCCCAGGCTATATACCTCCTGCCACATACTTTATAATTACTATTATGTTATTGCGGAATGGTGTGTCAGTTTGTTGTTGGTGTTTTTTGGGGGGTTCAGGTTAAGATGTAAATTTTTTACTCTCCCTTTCTGAATGAGTTCACTGAGAAAAATTATCACAGGATTTATTTTTAAAGGAAAAGAGAAAAAAATATTTAGAGCATATTTCTCAATATTAATCAGCAGACATTAAAATTTCAACACAAAGATATCAAATGTTATCTTGGACTTTGCATATACACTGAACAAGGCAGAAAATGAAGCAGTTGATAGATTTTGCAAATTCCAATCAACATTATTACTTACCTATTTCATTTCAGGTTTATATACCTCATGTATGAACAATAATTATTGCTTATGAATTTTTCCTTGTAGAATGGTAGAGATATCTAGTTAAAATTTTTTAAAATTTTATTTAGATACTAAGTTTTTGAATAACATTCAAAACTATCATTCTTAACATATATTAAAAACATTCGAAATAAAAGAAAAAAGAAAAGGTGTTTGCCTTTTTTTTTTATTGATATTTGGGGGGGGGCATCTATCACTCTTTTGCAGGTTATTTAAAGCCAGAAAATATTTTTAGATTGTAAGAATTTTTTTTTCTTCAAGATAATTAAGATTATGATTTTTACTGACAAAAGTTCTACTAGTAAACCCATAGCTGGGGGAGAAAAGTGAATTTGAATAAATATGCTACATAATTATAAAAGCCATCAAGTAAAAAAGTGTATTTGTGCGAGAGAATATACAGAACCAAACTGAAATGGAAATTCTAGTTCCAAGCTGTTATCCATTACACCACCTACACATCCAAGATTACAGCACTTTGTATTCTCAAGCAGTCACCCATCTAGCTACTGGCTGGGCTTAACATTGCTTAACTGGTGATTGTACAAGAACTGGTGCTTCAAACCCTTTTATCTTGTAGATAGATAACAATAGATTTAGAGGAATATCTTTATTAAATCGATTTATTCTTCTCCACTTTATTCTACCACATATTGTACTACGATAGTTTATTTTTTCACCAGTAGTAAAACCTGCGGAAAATGTTGAAGTTTAGAAATAAAATACAAAATAATATATATTTTAATTATCTAGGAAAAAACATTACTGACAGATTTTAGATGGACTATTTATGACTTAGCAATTTCATGTATATAATCTTGAAAAGTAATATCATTTTCAAGAAATTTAAAAAAGGCACTATTCCTTAATGTTTCAAAATGTTCCTCTTCTAAATTTTGAATTCTTTAGCACTTGGCAACATCCAGGAAATATGTAATATTTGTTACTAGCAAAATACCCAGCACTGGACAGGACAAGTCCTTTTCCTTTGTTTCAATACACTACACAGGCACTTTTATTTGTTTTTTTGAGAAATTTGTATATGCTGCCATAAAATGTTATTAATGAAATTGTTATGCTGCCATAAAATGTTATTAATGAAAATTAAGGCAGTTCCATACATTTAAACATACATTTCATATATAGCATTTATATATTTATATTCATATATATTTCATATATAGCATTTTATAATCTATATTTGTCAAATATTACTAAAAACATCTCCATTACCTACTTTCCTTTTGAGTTGTGATCTAAATGCTGAGGCAGTTACCATTTTCTGGACAGAAAATAGCATTGTTTGAATAACTATGCAACTTAATTATAAAAGCCATAAAGAAAACAATAATTTAATTATAAAGATTACAAAAGACAAGTTTAAAAATGAATGACAAAGTTATTTTTAAAAATTTGGTTCTTTAAAAGTGAATATGCAAATTAATTACCCCATTAGGTAAGAACTCTGAAGCTGGAGAAAAAGAAATACACCAGCTGGTAAATATAAATAAACCACATTTATTTGATGTCATGACATTATGCAACATCCACACACACACACACACACACACACACACAGGAAGAGACAAGTAAGTTAAGATTTAATTAATTTTCAGGGTTTCAGGTAAACATACAAGCTTTGAGCATTATTAGATAACTGAATGCTATATACAGGTTTTCATCATTATAGGATTGTATATGAGCAAAGTAATTTATTACAATAGAATAAATATATTTTTTTAAGTTTTGAAAAAGATTTTATAGACCATACAATGGTAACAAAGTACAAGCCTGAATATTAATATCATATTTCTCTCTATTTAAGGCACATTAAAAAAATTACTCATTCAAAAATCAATTTGCATCTTATACACTAATGATTAGGCTTGAGTAGGCCTAAAAGTAGAGATTTCAGGTAAAAATTGACACCTGCATTTGTTTGACATACTAATTACTTTATGACCACAGTATGAAATATATATATATATATATATATATATATATATATATATATATATATATATATATTGTAAATGATCATTTTGATTTGTAAGCATAAATCAATATTAAAATATAAAACCGATATATATGGATGAATACTATTAATTTATTTTCTTTAACGATAATTCTCAAACAAGAGGTGGGTTTTATTTGCTGGTGTATGTTATTTTTTTTTACTTCAACTGTTATTTTAGTTCAAAATAGACACCCTGTTTTTATTTTAAACAGTGTGTATTATGCCATTTGGCCTGCCTGAACATTCCAGATACAGAAAATATAGATGCAATACACTCTGTTTAAAATTTAAAAAAAAAAAAAAAATCATCTTCAAACATGGATCTCCGCTAAAATATTGTTTGAAGAAATAAAAATGTTGAATTAAAAAGAAATCCATTAATTATATATATATATATATATATATATATATATATATATATATATATATATAATGAATATTGGTGTTTAAGCCTTTTTATTATATCCTTACTCTGTCCTGACATTGAGTTCTACCTGGATTCTATCCT